TTTGCGTTAATTTATTTCTACTTCAAGGCAGAATTCGTTTCAAAAATTTTCTAAATTTTCTAACCTAGTAAAAAATTGTACGGCACAGTAATTTTCACGATGTGCAAATTCCTACTGTATTTGCATAACTTTCGTTACTCCCACAGACAGTTAAAAATATTGCAAAACATGAATGAACGAATGAACATAAGCGAGCAATAAAAGTTAAAGTAGACGAAGGTTTCACGTGTAACTAACCGTAGTTGAGTGGTTCAGCCATTATGCCGGCAAATGCAGCCAGATATCGATCTTTGTCATTCATTAACAATGACGTTCGTATGTTTTCAGTTCCTCGCGACATCTCGACGCCTTCCCAGTCGATTCGCGAAGGAACGAACGAACCAACGAACGAAGAATTGATCTAAGGTCCCTGGAATTAAGCAAGCGTGTAACGCTTGACCAAGCGAAAGTGAAACTCTTACTTTTCGACCCTAACCTCTTCAGCGGGATTCACTTTTACTTGCTCCAGCTATACACGCCAATTCATTTCCCACAAATAACGATTTCCTCCCTTAAGTCGGACTATTTCGAGACTTCCTTTCAAAAATTTCACGCTATTTTTCGGAAGATTTATTTATAATCGATTTTTGATATAATAAAAATTCGTATTTAATCGATTTTCGAAGGAAAACACAAATCTGAATTTTAATTTTCTGCTAAAGTGATTCATCCTTTAAAAGAAATACGCATCATTTATTATTACTTATCATTCGTTCCTGATAAAAGGAAGAAAACACGAGATATCACGTGGTAAATACACAATGTTTTAAGATTGTACAGAATATGACGAGTTGAAACGTAATTACAACGATAACACCAGGAACTAAAAAAGAAAAAAAGAAGTGAAAGACTGAATAAATGTTTAGAACTCGCATACATCAGAGATAATTAAGTTGAACACATTAATAGGCAGTTTTTATCTTAATGTCAGCGTCTGTCATCGTTAAGAATTACATAATACGAGGAATTAGTATGTGTAATTAGTAGTACAGTTAAGCAACGTGTACATAATCGATATCTGACGTTAATTTTTCACTCGTAATTGCACATATTTGCACAAGTACTTGAATTCGTCATGGCAAACCCAATTTGTTCTTCCCGTTTGTCACCCCAAGGATAATTATCCCCACTAAGAAAAAAAAGAGAGAAAAAAAATTTCAATTTAAAATTTTCCACAAATTGAACGTCCAGAGGAAAAATTTAATTGCACGGAGATGAAGCGAACGTCGCAATTATTCAATTACGCCCGCGTCGAGGAAAAGGGCCAGGAGATAAAATTATGGTTGTTTGCTTCCTACTCGACGATCTTGCTTCTTTTTACAAGCCCTTCTAAACGACTTCTACGTATGTACAATTGATTAGTCTGTTAGAGAAGTTTAATTGGCCCCAAGTGCCGCGAGTAGCGCAAGGACGCGCGCAGGCCTCATCTCTCTCTCTCTCTCTCTCTTCTCTCCAGTTCTATCGAGAAAAATATTTTTCTAACTGAATGCAACGTGGCGGTAATTGCGCATTAAAAGATTCCCCGATGAAATTTATATTCTCTCCTTAACGTTCTCGAAGGAAAAGTCTCGTTTCTTTTCCCTCGGCATCGGGAGCACCGCGGAGAATAAAAAATAATAAAGGTAAACGCGTTGTATAGCCGCGCGATTAAGGCTGCACTTATCGCGGAATGCAAACGAACGAAAGAAATCATTGTTGGCAAATTTACGCTCCAGTTCTATTGTGCTTGAAGGTACACCGCCATTATTTCAAAGCACCATTATTGCAATGTCTATAGTTACTGTGATAAAAAACGAAAAATGTGGAACCTTGATTCGCGACAATCTTGAACCAGTTTTAATTCTTCTACTATCGATGCTTGTTCGATCGTTAGGAAAATCATTGCTAATAAAAATGGAACACTTTTTTTTTTTACAATAGCTCGTTATTTTAATTTGTCATTGATCTATCATTGAAGAGTTACCATTGATTTGTCACTGAAAATTTACCGACGAATGATAAACTATGTATAGTTCTGAGGGCTTTGTTCTTCTCAGCCATCTGTTTCCCTTGAATTGTCGATTAGATCATTTCTCAATGGGTTTGAATGGTAATACCGATGCTAATTTCCAAATAATTCTCTAATTTTACTCTTTTCGTCTAACTGATACCATTACGCTAATTACCAACCGAGTTCCCCGCTATCAGCGAAACAGCTCCTCTCGTCTTATTCCAACGTAATCAAATAAAATTTACAACAGAGGTCTGAGTCCGGTCAGTTGTGGCAGTAAATCAATTTACCAGTTGCGTCACAATGAGAGTCATCCACTCGTCACGTTCTTCGACGAAAAGAAAAGAAGAGAGAAAAAAAAAATCGACGGTATTTCTTTACAGCGATAAAATATTTGTCATGTTTGTGACGTTCGCGAGACGTCACCGGTACATCTGGTCTCTCTGGTCCCGCTAGGAATCTATTTAAATACCGATTGTTTCGGCGTGAAAAAGAATAGTCGCGAAATGATTCCGTTCGGTTGGTTTCCGGGGCAAACAGGGCAGCCGAAGAACGGCTGTATCGAAGGATGAAAACGAGAACGAAGTTACACGCGAGAATTCCGCTACGACTGTGTACACGAATTGTCTTCGAAGATCTCCGCGTCGGATATATAAATGTCGCACGATCTGCCGCACGATGCTCTTAAGCGATCTGCCGGCGTCGTAGATCGCACGCGTTTCAGTGGACCGTGTGCAACAGACTATCAGGCTCGTTTGGCTCCGTTTCCGGAACCGTTCCGTGTCGGCTGGCGAGGCCTCGGCATTAACGGAAGGATGACCACCAGAAACTTGGAAAAGATGCTCAGGCTCACCGCACTGTCGAGGGTCCGTCTCTTACGGTATTGAATAACTGTCGGAGTAAATGGAATAAGAGGATATTTTAGAATAATTTCGATACTTTTGTAGAATTGTTTCTCTGATGAGGTGTCGAGATTGTTTAGAGGAATTTCAGAGATTCTCTCGTGTATTGGATTTTTTGAGTGATAGTAATTTTGGTCCTCTGTGAATTTTTCTTTGGAGAAACTTAGGGATTTTGTGAACTTTCTTGGTTGAGATATTTTGATATTTTAGAGAATTTGGGGATTTTTTTATAAGTGTGATTTAGATACGAAGTGGAGGATGTTTAAGAGAACTTGGGAATCTTGTGTAACTGTGATTTATATACGAAGTGGATTATATTTTATGGTAATTTGAGTTCCCTGTGAATTTAACTCGAGAATTTAGATCATTTTGTAAATTTTTCATATCTTTAAAAAAATTTCGAATTTCATAGCTTTTCGCTATTCAAACATCATCCAAATCCTTCCTCACTACTTCCTTCGCTACATTACTTCTCCCACTTCTCACACTCGAAACCAAAAAATCTCCTGAAAACTCCAGTCTTCCTGTCATCTCGGTAAAATTTTTCCAGTGCTCCAGATTCTCGCGCACCGTTCGCATTTCACATTTATCTCTCGAACAAGGACTTACGAGCCTTCAAACTTCGTTGCATCAAAAAGTATCACCACGTTCACCTGTTAAATGTTCTGAAAACAATCCTCGTGTTTATCCATAGCTGTAAGCTTTTCCTTCGATTGTCGTGAACGCGTGTCGTTGCGAGAAGAATGCCATGCGGAAGGCCAAAGACGATCGTGTCAAAATCACGACGCGTCATTTTCGCATCGGCATCGAGGAAGAGGAGGACGAGGAGAACAACGAGGCGGAGAATTCAGCAGCCAGAGAGAAGGACAGAAGAATCTCTATCACCATCGAGGCAGACTCTGCGATAGTGATAGACGATCAAAATTCACCAGTGAACAGAGATCTTCCAGCAACCTACGAAGACGAATCCTCCGTATTGAGCGACCAAGGAAAGGAGGAAACGTTATCGGAGAATCTCGTCGAAAAAATCATCCGAAGAAGTCAAGACGAGCAGGAGAAAAGTCTGCAGAGCTTTGAATTCAAGTCGTCTAGAGACTCCGAAGCATCAGATGGTTCGGAGAAATCTCACCAGATTAGAGATGGAAATTTTTCCAAAGCGGAGAAGTCGTTGAGCGTCGGTTCGGAAGGAGAAACTCGAAGTTGGATCGCTTCGAGCGAGAATGCAGCGACCTTTGTCATTTCTCCTGTCCAGATCGCGGACCGTAGAGAAAAGCCCGAGGCTCTCTGGTCGAGATACTCCGTGTACGAGAATGCAAACGCAATTAGGAAGTTGGACCACGAGGCTGGAACCTCGAGTTACCCGGAACTTTCCAACGCAGAGGCAACAAGTAGAAGCTACGGACCACTTGCTGCTCGTCCCCAAGCCTCGAAATCCTTCGATCTTCCCTACGAATCCACGAAAGACATCCAGAGTGCACAGGAAACGAAGTCACATAGTTCGACGAGATTCCTCTACGAGCCAACTGAGAGAACTCCTTCTACGCTCCCCGGAACGGAAGTGCAACAGAGCATAATACTCGGCCAGCGTAACCTCGATCCTAACAATACGATCCCACCTCCGATATCAGCCTCCCCGTTGTTCATCAGACGTTACTACAAAATCATGTCCACTCTTCCCAGATACTCCTCCAGTCTCGAGAAAATTTCTTCGCCTAACAGAGACGAAAATCCTATCCAAGACTCTATGGACAATTACGCGAACGTCAGTTCGAAGAAGGATCTCGAAGAACCTGGTAATCAGTTCGTACGTCAGAGAAGATTGACGTTACCAGTGACGAACATGGATCTGGATTTGAAAGACGCGCCGAAAACTCCCACCTACGAAGGTATATTATCAGGAACAGTGGTAAATCCCATTAGGCGATCTAGCATCGCGAACGCAGCTATCTGTTCGAGTTTAGCTCCGAGCCTAGTCAGCGCTTGCCCAATTATTCCGAACTGTTTGTTGCCGAGTGGCGAGGAGAAGAAAGACGCCGATAGTACGTCGAACGTTTCGTCGACGGGGAATATCGAGGAACAGGCGGCAGGAAGAAGCGGTGGAAGCGGATTGAGATTGAGACTTCCGTTTCTTCGGCTTCAAATTCCGCTGCAACATCCAGCCGCTACGTGGGAGGAACAGGAGGACGAGGATCTAGGTGGTCATCATTCTCATCACCATCACCATCATCATCATCATCACCACGTGTTCCCGCATTTTCATGTACCCACGATCACGTTCACCGCGCCAGCCACCGACGGTGAATCTGGCCGGAAGTTCAACTTTGGAATTCGCAGACACTCGCAGACGGTTAGTTAGTCGCAGGTGTTTTTTCCTTTTTTTTTTTTGGTTGACTGCTCTCTGGCTTTGTTTCTTTTCTTTCCTTACGACTTTTGGCGAGCGACGAGAAGGGAGGAAGAAGGAGGCTTTTTTGATTAACGGTGATGTACAGAGTGATCGCAGGCTTTCGATTTTCATTAACGAGAGAACGAGTGATCGATTTGACGATTTTTTCGTTTTTTTGCGGTTCTAGTATTTGTACTTAACACGTTCTGCTTTTGGATTTGGATTTAACACGAAGTTTTGCTAAGCGGAGAAAGTTAGCTTGTGGGAAATGTGTGTGAAGGAAGATTAGCGTATCGAGAATTCCGTAATTGTGGGATTTTTTGATTTTCTTCCCGCGCTTTTGGTAAAAAATTGCAATCTGCGACACCGGAACGTGTTAATACTTTTTATCGAGCGTGAGTTTGAGTTTCACGAGATATTCTTGGAGGAGTTTCGTGAAAAAAAGGAAATATTAGATACAGCTACTTTTTGACACAAAAACTAGAGAAAATAAAAGAAAACCTGAAAATTTTGCTTAGACTTCTCAGAGGTGACGGAACAATTGAAGAGCACGGCACTTAGTATAACCGTATAACGCCAATAAAACGTCCGGATTCTGTGAAAGGCCGTGATATCGTCATCTGGAAATCATACGAACGTTAAAACTGTTCGCTACACTGGCTGGTTTTATTACAAAGGTCGGACTTGGAGGAGCCTCGATCGAGAGGAGAAACTCGTCGGAATGGCAAGGATTCGAAGAAACGCAGAGATATGCAGATATAAAAGACGCTTTCAAGAAGAGAACGAAGGATATGGATTGGTGGATGACTAACACTCTTGTCTGAGAGAAGGGATTATACAGTGCTCGTGTTTGTTGTGTCTCTGTTATCTGGTTCTCGTTTATCAAACAACGCCTTGCAATAGTATACCCGGTAAATTTCAGCGATTAACGCTACGATGCTCGGAATTTTGTCGGACTTATTGAGATATCGCGCTCGATCGAGTCGGGTCTCTCTTGTTTTTAATTCATTCCTCAGGTACGAACTCCTCCTCTATTTTCGTATTTCGTTCTTTCAACGTCAATAGGATGATTTGTTAACCTTTTAACTGGAGAAGACAGTGTATTTTCAATTGTACAGTCTTTTGCCTGCGTTAAATATCAAATACATCGTATTCACATGTTTGCAAAGAAGAAACGTTAAATATGAAATTTTTAATATTAAAATCTAAATATAATCTAACGAAATTACTCATATATTTGTATTAATTTTTAATTACAAATCTAGAGAGATTCGATTTCTTATTCGAGAAGTGTACTCTGTTTAACAGGTTAAAAATCATTCTGTTAGCGTAGCGATGATAAATGTTTACGTGATGAAAATTGGAGAAAAAGGCGCGATTGAGCAACAGATGGAATAAATTAGCATATCAAAGGGATGTACACGTGTGTTGAAACAATGCGGCTCACGTCGGATACGCCAGTGTCATCTATGCTAGCTTCGAAACGGTACACTTCCGAGCAAGGATACATTTAACAATGTCACGGTCAACGATCGTTAATCATCGGTATTCTGCTAATAGTTGTGGATACCTTCGAATAGACATTTGTTACATTCGTTCCATCATCGGTGTTCTAAGGTTCTCTTTTTTTTGGCATCGAGCACAGACGTCTCGAGGAGACGTGTCAATTTCGGAACCGTTCACCGAAAAGGAAACAACGCGCATCTCGACGAGTTACTAATTTTCATTAGTCAACCTCTTTCTTCTTTCTTTCATTTTATCCACGCTTTATTTCGAATTTCGTAATCTGCCACGTGAACAATGGCTTTCACCGTTTATCCTCGTTGCTCGCCTAATTTATTGGCCAATTTAGATAAAATGCAGGGAGAGATTTAGCGTACTTTGGCTGTCAAAAGGATTTCGAAGCGTTATTATTCGCGCAGAGATAAGCTTACCGACGAATTTTCACGCGATTAACCCAACGCGATATTTTCGGTCTGGTTTGAAAAGAATCGTTCGAAGGATTCTCTATTTTTTCTCTCTCTCGGCAGTCTTTCAGTTTCGTGTTAACAGAGCGATATGTCTGTTTCGGTTGGCGCTGCGCACAGGTGATAAAACGACGTGTGTTAACAGGATTTGGTAGCCCGGCTCGGTTGGAATCGATCTCACCATAATCTATATTCAACGGCGATGTCGTGTTTGTCCGTGAATAAAACGGTATTACATCGATCATACTGATGTAAAACTAGCGTCAGGGTGTTCTATCGGAGTAGGTGGACCCAGCTGACTGAGTTTCTACAATCAGGGTGACTCGCATGAGTTGTAATCGAAACGTGTGCACGAGTGAACTTTGTCGTGTGCGTATTTTTTTGCTAAGTTAGCATTAACAACGCTGAAGATTGAACGTAAGAAAGGCTGTAAGTGTTGGTAATCAAAATTTGAAGAAAATCTAAATTAGTATTTTAATATGCGTTACTTTATTTAATTTTACTATATTTTTCTTTTTATATCTTAAAAAATTTTTATGTCACAGGAAAAGACTTATAGCTTTTTTCTAATGTCTTGCCTTCGTTTGTTCGCGAGAATTCTCTGTCGGTATTGTTCAAAAGCAATTCTAATACGTTCCTTTGCCAGCATTAAATTTTAACGCATTCGATAATTATTATCGTTGCTTTAAAGGGAATTTTTTGACATAAGCGGAGCTTTTGTCAACGTCAACGTAATTGTTGCAGAATTGTTTGAAATTGCATTCGATAGAATTACATCGTCGAATTTCCAATGCGATTAATATTAAATCGTCACACAAAGTAATCAGCTAATGATGTATCGAGGCGAGGAACGTATTAAGGGTGTATCGAAGCTTGATACGTTAATTCGTTTTAACGTTGTATTAACAGTGTGGTTAACACCCTTGCAAACTTCTAATTTGCTCTCATGCAAAAACGAAAATGCGCTAAAAATTTTTCAACCTGCATAAATTGCAAGAAAATCTTTTTTCAATATTTCTGCAATAATTCGTTAAAGATACTTCGATTTTCTCGTAACCAAAGAGTGTCGAAGCGATTTTGTTGTGTGTTTTTTTCTCTCGCAAATTTCATTCTAAAGCGGAAACATTGAAAGTCCACATGCTTAGCATTGAAAGTTTCTCACGGAAGCTGGTATGCAAAAACAATGCTCGAGGTTGCACCGTATTCTACCCCCTTTTATTTGCCTTTCAATCAACGTTTCCACTGCTTCTGATTCATTCTTTATCGTTGACCCACATATTCCATTGTGCTCCCTTTAAATATGTACAAGCTCTCCGTATACTTTCGAGAAAAGTATCTACAGCCTACGTCCACGTGCTCTCCGGCTAATCGTAACAATGGGAACGATTTTCTCGCGATCATTGCCGCGAATCAGAATCACCTTAATTACCTTTTTCGGAATCTCTATTATCGAAATTTCTCGACTCTCCTCCCCTCCTTCTGTGATAAAGAAAAGCTTCTGTGAAAAGCTTCGAAGAGCGATACTACGTTTGACAAATCTTCGTTAACCCCTTAACCTATGATTTCTTTTCTGACTGCGCATCTAAGCGTCAGCCATTTTCTGTTTTCGTACTGAATCAGGTAACAGAAGCTAGTCTGTTACGGATTAATTACGTTTGGTAATCTTCAGTCTTACGAATTCAAACGAAAATTAGGATTACAGTGAATTTTTCTTGGTAATATAACTATTTTTCTCACATCTCAACCAGAATTTTTGCCACGAGTCTGACACGTTGTTGTACGTTAAGGGGTTAATTGCATCGTTTCTATTTGTCTTAAAGAGTGACGTTGAGACTATTGTGGGAGAAGCTGTTAGTTAACAGTTGGATCCCGTGTTAAGTGTTAATTACTTTAACAATTACATTTAACGCGGTGTTTAAAGTGGACTTAAAGGCAACTGGTGAATCTTTAAAAAAGAAAATTGTTCTTCTAACATAGATCACACGGAAGATCGACATATTTCAACTTCTAACGCGTCTACGTGTGTATTTCCGTAAAACGAACAGCGTATCATGACCACTCTGTGTGACGCGTTGCAATTGACATTAATCTTGTCCTTAACTACTCTGGAATGAGCAAATTTGCGCAGGTTTGAACTCGCTAAATACTGCTTTCAACCGACTGACACACCGCACGCTCAGACAATACGCGAATGGTTAAATGAAATAACCTGTGACACCTTAAATAACGACGATTGTAATGAAACCAAAAAAAAAGAAAAAGAAATAGTGATGGTAGAGAATTGAATTCATTTGAAATTAATATATGCTAGGTATTAAGAGTGCGATGTTTTCGCAGACCGTTTCGCCACTACTTACACAGCAATTAATCCGCTTCGATGGCTTTTTGATTGCGGACCACCAACGTGACAGTTCTCAGTTGTGGATCGTCCGTTTGCCGATTTAACGAGCTAATACTTTCTTTCACAGACCTTGCACCGGACTGACTCGATGGTATCGCTCTGCTACCGATCGCTCGCCAGCTATATCACGGACGATAATCTCGCTGGTCTCCAGAACTTCCTCGAAAATAAACGAATACAGATCGATGACCGAGACGAGGTAAAGCTTGAAACGAAAATTTACGGTGTATGAGAGAAATTGGAGGATTCAGATTTACATACTGAAGTTTTTCTTTGGTTTTCTTAAAGAAATATACTTGAACGTGAGAAATACTGTTTTACTCTCTTCCATTGTATCTTGGTAAATTATTAAAATTATTGAATTATTGGATTGGAAGAAAAATTTAAAGGGAGCTTTTGGTCTAGAGTAGTTTTTAAGAACAATATGTCAATGTGAATTATAGTTAAATGAAATTTTTCTCTCTTTTTTGAATTCTGGAGAATCCTTTGAAAGAAACATACTTGAACGAGCATACCTGAGAAGTCCTCTGTTACTCTCTTCCATTTTACCATGATGAATTTATGGAACTTGTTAAATTATTAAATTGGAAGAAAAATTTAAAGGGAACTTTTGGTCTAGAGGAAAATCCATTTACTATAATTTTCTGCACATCTAAAAGACTCTCGAGAAGATTTATTCCACACATCTAAAAGACTCTAAGAAGATCTTCTCAGGATATAGAAGTTATCGATTCGAACTGCATGCCACGCGTTATAATCCTATAATTTGCTCGGGAAATTAGGCCGCGTAGATTCTGCGAATGTCGAGATTGCCCTAATTTTCACAGTCTCGGCAGACTTCGATAATTCTCTCGCCCTGTCAACAATCCGACTCTAGATAGCTGTTTTCATTGTTCTTACGATAGAATGGTAGCACAGCCCTCATCCTTGCAGCGACTAAAGGGAAGATACACTTCGTGCGGGAGCTCATTAATCATGGAGCGGATATTAACGCCGAGGACGGGGTTAGTATCATCTCGAATCTTCGATCATACGGTTGTTCTTCTTATTCCATATTTCTCTACCGATACAATTTTTCAGGATAACTGGACAGCGTTACTTTGCGCAGCGAAAGAAGGTTACACCGACGTCTGCATTGAATTACTCGAGCATGGCGCCGATTTGGAGCACAGAGACATGGTAATACGCTTTGCAATCTTCAACCCTTAATTACGAAAGATGTGCAATAAATGAGTAGACAAGCGGCGTTAATCGCGAAAGTAAATTCTTGACTTGGACCATTTTCATAATCACTCATCACAAGTATACCTACTGTCGCTGTTCTGTCTAATTTGACTTTAAAAAAATGAACATTCCATTAAAAAAAGAAAGATTGACCTCCAAATTTCTTCAATTTAACCAGTAAAGAAACTATCTCCACAATAATTTGACTCCAAAAAGTGAATATTCCATTAAAAAAAAAAGATTGCACCAAAATTTCTTCAATTTAACCAGTAAAGAAACTATCTCCACAATAATTTGACTCCAAAAAGTGAATATTCCATTAAAAAAAAGATTGCCCCAAAATTTCTTCAATTTAACCAGTAAAGAAACTATCTCCACCATAATTTGACTCCAAAAAGTGAATATTGCATTAAAAAAAAAAAAGATTGCCCCAAAATTTTTTCAACCTACCAAGTAAAGAAACTATCACCATCATGTTATTTTTGTCAAAAGCGTACAACTTTTATAATCAACGTTTCCGCTTGTTACTTGAAATCATGAAGATATTCAAGATGGACAGAGTTGACGGAACACCCTGTACATACCAGAGTTACGGTACCACTTACGTGAATGAACCACCTCGTAATCGTAAGGAAATAACGCTAGCGATAACACAGGGGAAATGTTCTATTTTTAGGGAGGATGGACGGCACTTATGTGGGCGACGTACAAGGGTAGGTCGCCGACGGTGACGATGCTGCTTGCGCAAGGAGCTGACGTCAATGCTCACGGGAATTTTCATATATCCTCGTTGTTATGGGCAGCGGGCAGGGGTTACCCTGACATTGTTAAGGATCTTATTACCCATGGTGCTAAAGTCAATCTCGGCGATAAGGTAATCTATTTTTCATCCCGTTCAAGTTCACGTGCAATGCACCTTTGCAACCGTTAACTAAAGATAGGGCAAAATCGATGCTTAAGAACGATTTTATGTTATTTCTATTTATATTTAACGGAGGTAACTTTTTTTCTTTTCATTTTTAGTACGGTACCACAGCATTGGTGTGGGCATCACGCAAGGGCCACGTGGAAATTGTAGATACTCTTTTAAAAGCTGGTGCTAATGTAGATACTGCTGGAATGGTAAGATTGTTGGACTTTTAATTGACGATAACTAATAGAACAATTGAGGATTTTTATATTACAAAGAGATTTAACAAGAAGTCCAAGTCTTCAGTTATCGAATCTGTTTACCGAATGTTCGATTCAATTTTGTACAGTACTCGTGGACAGCTCTTCTCGTGGCCACTCTTGGAAATCACGTGGACGTGGTGCTGCTCCTGTTGGAGCACAAGCCAAATGTGAACGCTCTGGATAAAGATGGTTGCACAGCATTGGCAATAGCTTGTCGAGAAGGACACCACGAAATAGCAAACGCGCTGCTGAACGCCGGGGCTTACGTGAATATTCAAGACAGAGCCGGCGATACGAATTTAATTCACGCTGTGAAAGGCGGTCATAGAGGAGTGGTTGAATCTCTTTTGAAAAAGTACGCTGATGTCGACATCGCTGGCAAGGTGCAGACATTAACTGGATTATTCGATGCTGATCATTTTAGTCGATACGCTGCTAAAAGTGTTTTGAATATATTAAAAGAAATATATTATACACGATATAAATTGAATACTCGATAGAGATGTAATTATTTAAATACACGAAACGCTTCGTTTTATCTTTGCACTTGAGTTTCCTTGACTATTTTTGCTTGTTTTTAGCAATGTATCCAGATTCTTCGAGGTATGACAGATTTATATTGACCGTTTGAATTTTTATTATGAAATATATTGTAGGATAAGAAGACCGCAACGTACATAGCAGTAGAAAAAGGCAATATACCGATACTAAAGTTGTTGTTAAATGCTAACCCAGACCTGGAAGTCGCGACGAAAGACGGCGATACTCCGTTACTGCGGGCAGTTAGGTCGCGAAACGCTGAAATCGTACAAGTATTGCTGGACAAGAAAGCGAAAGTTTCAGCCACCGATAAAAAAGGCGACACGGTACTTCATATAGCTATGCGTGCAAGGTCGAAAGCTATCGTCGAAATATTACTGAGAAATCCGAAAAACAGTCAGCTACTCTACCGTCCAAATAGACAAGGCGAGACACCGTACAATATCGACATCAATCATCCAAAGACCATTCTTGGACAAATATTTGGCGCACGTGAGTTATTCGTCGTTTATTTTTTTTTTTTATTCTTCTTTCTATCAGTTGAATCGTAACAACGAGGATTCCTTTTCAGGACGTCTCAATACTAACGAAGATAATGAAAATATGCTTGGATATGACTTGTATAGTAGTGCATTAGCAGATATTCTCAGTGAACCATCTCTATCAACGCCTATAACTGTTGGCCTTTACGCAAAGTGGGGATCGGGAAAGTCGTTTCTGTTAAATAAATTAAAAGGTAACATTGGACAAATTTATTCACTAAAATGAACAATTGATAATTCTTAATAATTCTTTCAGAGGAAATGAAAAATTTTGCTCGCCAGTGGATAGATCCCGTGTTCCAGTTTTCTTTCTTATTGTTCCTAGTAGTAACACATGTGTCCTTGTTAGTGGGTATTACGATAGGTCTTGCCCTTCAATCGTGGATCGTTGGTGTTGCGTGTGGCATAAGTCTTATTTTTATCAGCTACATCTTTTTGATACTTGTCTGGTATGCTAATAAAAGGTAAAGGAGCAAATCAGAGAATCGCTGTTACCGTTTGTACTATGTGTGTAACTATGAAATATTTAATATCGTAGATACGATTGGTATTGGCCGTATAGCCTTACAGTAGCGCTGACGACAAAGTTAAATTCATTGAAGCTACTGTTGCAAGTAATTTTCTGTCATCCACCTGGTGGTCGAGTTCACGATGGCGTCACTGTTCAGCCGATAAAGTTCTATTTCACTGATCAGACTCGAGTCGGTACGACTGCCGCTGGAGAGAATGCAGTAGTACAAATGGTGGGATCCCTTTACGATTCCATCGAGAACGACTTCGGTTCGTTTTCTACGCGACTATACAGAGCGTTTAGACCGAAAGCGGACAAATCGACGACTACGTGGAAATGGAGGCATCTGTGTTGTTTACCGTACATAGTTATATTCGAATTCTGCTTTTGCAGTTTACTCGTTGGTATTTCTGTACTTACGGTCTACCTCATCGATATTTCTAACACCGAGTGAGTACGAGCAATGAGTACGCTTGACTTTTCCAAGGGAAAAGAAAAACTGTTGAAATGGAATTACGTTATTTATTCGTTTCTAATATCGTAGACCAACAATAGAAAGAGTCACGGCACACATTATCATGATTACCGTTGCCTTAATACTAGCTGTTAGTGTGATAGCAAACTTATACACGTGGAGTCGTACGTTGCAAGCACTTGTTTTCTCTCAGAGACGGCACCTACAGCGCAGCATTTCTAAGTTAGAGACACTGAAGAGCGAGGGTTTTATACAAACGCTGAGAAGTGAAGTCAGTTTAATGACAGAGATGGTATGTAAAACGTGTTACTAGTTGAATAATACGTTACGTGTTATATTTAACAATATTTTTATTACGAAAATGCAGGTCAAGTGTCTAGATAGCTTTATGGCGCAACAAAGTAGATTAGTAATAATTGTGGATGGTCTGGATAGTTGTGAACAAGATAAAGTGTTATTAGTTTTAGACGCTATTCAAGCACTGTTCAGTGATAATGGTTATCCATTCGTTGTTATATTAGCAATCGATCCGCATATTATAGCCAAGGTACCGTGACATGTTTCCCAAGTTTTCTTTTTTTTCAATAAAATTCAATTTGTCAATCAGATGATAAAGAATGATGAAATTTTGTTTCTTCAATCTAGGCAGTGGAAGTCAATAGTAGAAGATTGTTCACAGAGTCAAACATCGGAGGGCATGATTATTTACGCAATATGGTGCATCTTCCATTTTATTTGCAAAACAGTGGACTACGGAAGGTAAAAGTTGCTCAACAAACTGCCCAACATAGTAGAAAAACTATGTGGACCGAAGCCGAGGAAAGTGTTAACTACACCGCCAGTAGTACGATGCACCACTCTGTTTCAAACAGGAGACTTAGCACTGAATCTGGTATAATGAACAGTAATGAAAAGTTGAAGCCACAAAGTAGAAAAGGTAGTAGAAAATTGCGGTTGAGCGAATCGATCGCGAGTAGTATCGGCAGCAATTTGAATCGCCTGGGTGGAGCTCAGGATCTTAATAAAATGCTTCTCACTGACGATTACTTTAGCGACGTAAATCCTCGTAGTATGAGAAGGTTGATGAACGTCGTTTACGTCACTGGTAATTAAAAAATGAACGATCTTCTAATGGCATACATGTGCTTTTGTTTCTAATATACTCCACATCATTTCCTCAGGGAGGTTGTTAAAAGCATTCCAAATTGATTTCAACTGGTATCATTTAGCCAGTTGGATCAACATCACCGAACAATGGCCATTTAGGACGTCTTGGTTGATTCTTCATTACGATATGTATGAAGATAGTTTAGATGATTCCATGTCGTTAAAAAGTCTTTACGATAAGTACGTTTTTTTTTTTATTTTAAATAAATATTTCATACTTTTCTTTCGTTTCATTTTTCTTTTCTTCAAACTCTTAGGATTCGACCTCAAATTCCGGTACTTAAAGAAGTTCAGCCTCTTTTAGAGATGGATAGAGACGAACGAAAACTGGACATTTTCCTCACGTTTCATCGTTCCAGTTTGCTCGTTAGCGATATGAAAATATTCTTACCATTCACAATAAATCTCGATCCTTATATTAAGAAGAAAATAAAAGAGGAGCAACAGAGCATAGAGGAAGAAATAGGACCTGGTCCATATAAACAGTATAGTCCTTGGACTTTGCATGGTAATAGTCACGAACCATGGGGAGCAAACAGGGGCGGTTTACCGAGTCGAACAATGAAACTTGCGAAAACGCCGAGTTTACAAGGACACATGCCAGTGCCACCAGCACCATCTTGGTGTATGCAACCAGCATTTGATTGGCAGACACCACCGTGGGTACCAATAGCTTCCATGGAACACACGATTAAACCACTCTCTGCAACTACAACTCTACCGGTATATTATACAGCTACCATAATGACACTACTGCTAGCACTATAATATTCATTCAGAACTTCCTATTTTCCTTTTAGTCCGAAATTTTGGAAATAAAACTCTCGTCTCTAACAGTAAACGGAGTGTGCGATCTTATTGATAGAATCGAATGTATAAATCCCAATCAAGCAGCACAGTACAAACAAGTTGTTAAGGATAATAACATTAATGGCAGAGTTTTATTACATTGCGAATTACAAGAGTTGAAAAAGGTTCGTTTCACCACGTTCGTTTTAACCGGATCGGTGTTAGTCGATAATACTGTTTCGTTTTTGTAGGTTCTTAAAATGGCGTTTGGAGATTGGGAACTGTTTCGTATGGTGATCGTATCGCTTAGGGAAGTGGAACTTTCGTCTTTTAGCACGCATGAAGAAGGTCCTCGAAGTGTGCGATTTACCGTAGGATCGGAACAAATTCAACGAAAAGGTATAAATGAGAATTTTCTACGTAGACGATAGTATGTTTTAAAATTACATTTATTATTATTTGACTATAGATCATGCTTTACAAAGCACTTCAATTCGTGTACCTACGCACGTTGAAAAAGAGAAGGGAACATCAAGAACGGATGGTCCTCCTAGAAGAGATCAAACTAAACAATCTATTATGGAGAAGCAAGTAAGCTCCTTCAAATTATCCGAATAAAATAATATGCATAGGTGTATTATATCAGTAGATTGATTAATAAAGTATAATTTTTATTACAATCGTGCTCGCTTTTAGTACCAGGTAAGCGAATTTTTCTTCTAACGAAAAATCACAATTTATTAACTCGAAAGCCTAAAAATTTAGTATTAAAATATCGGATGTAGTTGGGAACAAATGATTAACTAATTTTCCAGGTAACTTTGGAGGAACAAATGATATGCGGAGCACTGCAAACATTAAATGAAGAAGCGTGCGAAGATGTATTAGATGTACCATCTTCTGCAGGGTTACCATCAGACTCACTCTCAGGTGAGCCCTCTCCCCTACCACTTTCACTGCCTCTGGTTATAGTTCAAGAACCACCGCAGCCAGACCAAAAGTGTGACACCGTACTAGAATACAGTACAAATCTTTAACGAATTCAAAGATCAGGAAGCAACTGTGTTATCAATCATGTATTGTGCGTGTACGACATCAGTATGACCACATCGTATTCGAAGATGATTCTATAAATTCATCTCCTTCGCTGTTTCAATCCTCCATGGAAATCTGGTCAATATAACTGTCGTTTAAATGTTTCTTACTATATATTCGTACGTACATGGATAGAATTATCGTGGCAGTATTACCAATGATAGGTGTATACATTACAAAATACAGGCAGTCAATAAAATTTTAATTTATTATACACTTACTCATTTTAAGTACAACACATGTGACAGAGGTCGTAGGTGCTTACCAGTATCATCATATCCAGGAACCTTGCCTCTGCATATGTCATATCTTTGAAAATGTGCCAACGTGTTACGAGAGACTGGAACGTTATTATAATTAAAGGATATCAAATGAATGTCTGTCGAATAAAACCAACGTTATTCGTGTAACAAATAACGTTATTGTGGTAGTGATCTGAATGTATGCGTTTATCATAGACATAGTAAAAAACCAAAAAAAAAGGATAGATCATCTTCATGTAGTAGTTTAGTACATTATTCATGGTATAGCTTGCGAAGAAAAACACTGTGTGTCATTTTTGTATTCCTAAAATTATAGAGGATACTCTTCGTACCCCTGTCTGAAATAATTTCTGATGCTAGTGCTTAATTCGGTCGTTGTACTATTATTAATTGCAGGTTCATAATACTTAGAAATACTGTATTTTTCATAACGAATATTTGTAAAAACAGACTGTGATAATTACCTGTTACTGTCGTTGAGTGTGAACGAATTATATATTTCCTTTTTGGGATGTTTATGCTGATAGATCTTGTATATTTAGAAAGATAAGCTTCTACGTGAAAGAATTTTATACACACCAAAGTAAAAGAAACAAACAAAAAAGAAAAGAAAACGAAGGCTACGGTTATATTTTCGTCTTTATTCATGTATTTTTTTGTACTGTGTGTACAGTTACCCTGACTTCAATTGTTGGATACTTATATATTATAAATGCGAATGGCAATAAAACTTTGTTGGAAACTTGAAGTGATATTATCTTTCTTAGACTAGATCTATAAGCTTATCGAGTTAACACACGCTTTCGTTTTATATGTTTATCAAGAGGCGCAACGATATTTCGTTAAAAAAAAAAGAAAAGAGAAAGACAAAAACAAAAAAAAGGAAAAAAGAAACCAATTTGACAAGGATTTCACTTAGAAATCCTTCTGTACGATATCTAACATTTCACTAGTCAATCTTTAACGGGTCAATTTTTCAAACTTACGCTTGCTAGATCCTGCATGATGAGCATTTCAATTGCGTAACGCCCAGATTTGTTTTAGGAACCATTTCGACGGCTCCTCAAGACACAGAGTACGTGATCCTTCAATCCAATCCTCTTCTGCATTGGGTACCAGTCAACGATGAACCTGAAACTTCTGACGACAGCTCGTTTGAGTCCACAGTTCATCTTCAACGTACAAACTCGCAGCGTAGCATTACATCTCAGCTTAGCACAAGATCAGCTTGTTCGTTTGGACGTAAAGACCCAAAGAAAACTGGAGGAAATGTTATTGGTAGCAGACCAGCGTCGCTTTTCGTCTCCCCGCCACCTTCCCCCAGACCTGCTTTCAGATCCAAATCGACCGATGAGAATTACGTAGCCAATAATATACCCATGAAATCAACCATCTCCACGCCTATCAAGAAACTACGCTCGACGTCAACATTGAACGACGAGATAGTCCTATCGGTTCCTGTTCCAAACTCCAGTCTAGAGAAACTAAGTAAATTGAAGGACCGCTTGATGGGAACTTTACCTGCCTCGCCTGCACCAGGGGAGAGCGAGGATGAGTCCACACCGTTAGTTTCTGAATTATCTACGCCTACCCATTCACAATCAGATAGCGTGTTCAAACACGACTGCAGCGAGGAGAACAGCAGCTCGATCTCGTCGAACAAAAGCCTGCCCCGTGACGGCGAACGATCCGTCAACATTGTTGATTATTCCGACACTGTTAGCTTAATGGTGAGAGAGTCCTCGCAGGTGCGTTTCCTGTCGCGTCAAAGCTCCGAAGAATGGGACAATCCCGAGACACCTGTTTGATACATTCTGTTACACAATCGTTAGTGCGTCTCGGTGTTACACGATAAATACACGATAGAAAAAGAAGCAGAACTTTGAGTTGAAAGAAAAAAAAAAGGTACTTAAATCGAAGTTTGTGATATACACATATATTTTCAAAGATAGTCAGAGTAGGGGAAACTCCACTTTGTAAATAGTGAATAGAGAGGATGATATTGTGGATCTTTTTAGATAAAGCGTTCAAAAGTGTTCATACGTCACAAAGAAAATATATATGGAACGAGCAATGCTAGAATATGCTAAGAATGAGGGCATACATTTTGTGCGGCACACGTATTATGCGTTAAGAGTTCATTGTTATAGGAGAATACGTTTGACCTTCGCGACATAACGAGCGACATTCCTTGATAATAATTTTAACGCATTTAACGACACGAACGTGTATCAGTTGCTTCTTTTTCTTTTTTTTTTTTTAAAGAAGAAAAGAAGAGCTGATATTAAGACGGAATATGTTTCTTTTATTGTATCGCAAATACGCGCTGAAGGATTAATTCAAGTCAATTCGTGGAAGCGGTAAGAAAACTTAACATAGGTGAATAAATATCTCGAATATTTTAACAAGCTATAGGTATAAAGAAATATTGTATCTGAGACATACTGTTTGACTCGTACCGATTGGTATTGGATTTTAAGCGCTAGTATTAGTTGCCAGGACAAACTGGTTACGACAGGTAAATAGACATTGTTGATTTATATGATGATCGTTATCATAAAGTCAACAAGATATTTTACGGTAGCGAACATACTTACGTGTTAAGGTGAGAAAGGTTTCCTTCTCGCACTGCTTTCATTATTACGCACGTAACATGGAGTTATCGAGTAGATTTTTTTTTTCGAGACTAAGTATTGTTGACTAAACCAATTTTTAAGAAGACTATCGAAACAACCATTGTCGACGAGTAATTTATAATATTTTAATTTTCGATTGATAATTACTTTTGAGTACTTAAATTTCTACTGGAAGTTTTTTATAAACTTATAGCGGATGTTGATTATTTTGTGACTTTGATCACTGTGAAATTTTAATGTATAAAGTAAAAGTGTTGAAAAGCTACAAACAGTGTGCAGTCACTTCAACTTGATCTATTTTCAATATGTCTGCAATGCCTAGTTCATAAAATACATAGGAGAGTGAGTATATACATATATATCTTTGAAAAATCTACAACACAACTTTTTAATAATAATTTTTTATTACAAA